GTTTCGTCCTCCAACTGCAGCTCTCGGCAAATTTTCTGAACGAGCAAAATAGGGGGTACATCTCGGCATCGAAAAACAGTATCACACATCGAAGATTTTGGACCTTCGCTCCCATCACGCATGATTGTCTTTTCTATGATTGTCTTTTGGACCACCACGCATGATTTTGGACCACACGTGATTGTCTTTTCTATGAAAGACTCACCTTGCCCGTTTTTCGTGCCCACCTGGCAGCCGCCACCAATCCTGCCAGGCTGTTCGAAGGCTCGCGTGCGTTTGCCACTGACGAGGCTGAAGCTGATGTACAGGACGAAGCAGTTTCTGAAGCATCCGAAGCTGCCGCAACTGACATTCCCGAACCTGTAACCTTGACTGGCATACCTGAATTCATTCCTCTTGTAGATGCTGACCCGGATGATGTTCGCGAAGTTCGTCTCAGTTATGAACGCGATCGCCAACAGCAACCGATGCCTGTCGTCTCCGACGAAGTCGTTCGTGTTACACCTGACGAAATTGGGGGGGAAGAAGGACCAGAATAAAATTTCGCAGGTGCAAACGAAGAACGTCCGCGTTTTACAGAAACAGGATTGCAGATACTGGGATTTGCAGTAGCAGTACAACGCAACGACAGTAAGATACCTGAACCAAAAACCGTCCGACAAGCTCTCACGAGTCCTCACCGAGAAAAATGGCGCGAAGCCATGGACAAGGAGCTAGCAGCACTCAAGAATCGTGGTACATGGGATTTAATCCCGACTTCAGAGGTCAAAGGGAAGAAGGTACTTACCGGAAAATGGGTCTTCCGCGTCAAGACTAATGCAGATGGGTCGTTTGAAAAGTTCAAAGCGCGATGGGTCGTCCGCGGATTCGAGCAGACTTACGGCATCGACTATGAACTAACCTTTGCTCCTGTCGGCCGACATACAAGCGTTCGGATTTTGCTTTGTGTCGCCGCCTGCCGTAATCTCCGACTTCGACAAATCGACGTCTCGAATGCGTTTCTCTACGCGCCGGTCGACGCACTTATCCTGGTAGAGTACCCGCATTCTTATACTACTAACCCACCGAGCGTTTGCCGTCTACGGAAATCCCTGTACGGCATTAAACAGGCACCGCGGCTCTGGCAGCATTATCTACACTCGCAGCTGATCATTGCTGGATTTCGACAGTTACCGCATGATCAGGGAATGTATCGACTGACCGACGGCAGCAACTACATTTTACTCGTTGCCTACGTCGACGACATCCTATACGTCAGTACTACCGATTCCCTCGCCGAGACCTTCATACTGAAATTACGAGAAAATCTACAGCTTACCGTCTCCGAAACAGTCTCACAGTTTCTCGGACTAAACATTACCTGTTCACCGACAACTATTCATCTCACCGCTTCGAAGTACGCAGCAACTCTCGCTGCCCGCTTTAACCTCACGCCTACTACAGTCTCTACACCGTACCGCTCACTACCGACTGACCACAAACCGAACTCGACACTGTTAACTTCAACTGGTTTACAGATCTATCAGCAGCAGCTAGGCTGTCTACTCTTCGCCGCTGTCACTTGTCGTCCTGATCTAGCCTATGCGGCCAGTCAGCTCGCTCAGTTCCTACGCCGTCCTGAGGAGGAGCATCAGCTTGATCTACTTCGTGCGCTTCAGTATTTTATCTCGACACCTGACGTCGGATTAGTCTACAACGTCATCGGCTGTAAAACACTCTATCCACACGGTTTTGTCGACGCCGATCACGCTGCTGATTCTACTAATCGACGGTCACGCACTGGGTTCATCTATGAACTGGAACCTATCGGACCTATCTCTTGGAATTCTACGAAGCAGGAACTGATTGTATTCTCCTCTGCTGAAGCTGAGTTTATTGCTGCCTGCACAGCAACACGCGAAGGACTTTACTTACAGTAACTATTGGAAGAAGCGAAGTTGACGACAACTACTCAGTTTACCCTACAGTGCGACAATCAAAGTGCAATTCGCATCGCACATCAACCTGGTTTCGTCAACAGGACGAAGCATATTTCGCTTCGTTATTTTTTCGTCAAAGATAAAGTCGAGAAGGGGAGGATGCGATTGGTCTACTGTTCGACCAACGAAATGGCTGCCGATTTTCTTACGAAGAAGCTGACACGACAGAAGTTTCAGTACTGTAACAAGCTCTGCGGAATCTTCAAGAAGTGACACTATCGACGTTCCAGAAATGAAGGGGAGTGTTGTGATATAATTGGTACTTAGCATTTCTGTAAGTCGATTAAGTGTAGTTAGTGTCGAATCTTCCTGTAGAACAGAAGTCCGTAGGATGACGTCAGCAAATAGCGCTCGTCATAGGACAGTCGTTTCAGTCACGCGAACAGTCGCACCTCTTCATTATCATCTAGGGCGCATAGCGCGATAGTGACGAACAGGTACATTAGCAAATAGGTACTTTTCCTAGAACTATAAATCCTTGTCAGGTCTTTTTCATTATTAACTTTGATTACCGTAATCCCCCGTATAAAACACCCTATGGTGTTAGTAAAAATGCAGCGAAATTTTGGGCTAGGTGTAATTAAAGGCAAAAAAAATAAAACACCCAGGAGTTATGGAATGTGCATATGCATTTTTTATTGGAATTCAAGTGTGCATGTTTCACCACGTTCATTTGAGTCAGATACCCACTTTTGGTCATCTCATTGCATACCGGCCGATATTGCCCACCTGCATGCCACATTGGCACTGCGCGTGCAGTGTCAGAGAGGATGCTGCTAGAAGAACCAATCGGCACACGTTTGTAACAAAGAAGCTTAGGATAGGAACTAAACTTAGGACCCTAGCTTAGCTAGGAAGGAAGGAAGGGCGCCATGGAATGGCGTGCGGAAGGTAGATCTAGGAGCGTGAGGAGAAGTGTTGACGAGAAAGGAGTTGGGATTAGGAAGAGAGAGCAGTACAAGGAGGGGATTGTACCCTCTACAGAAAGGTTCAGTAACAACCTACCAAGCCTATATTAAATTATAACTGATATAATTTTAACACACCCCCTAGGCTTGGTAGTGTCAAGCCCATGCACACCCCCACACCCACACCCACACCCACACCCTCTAGCCCAGCACCCCCATTCCCAGCAGGAGCCGCAACGACTCCGGAAGGGGGCAGCTCCCACGGCCTGTGCGATGTCAATGGCGGCAGCGGCGACAGTGACGACAACGGCGGCGGCAGCAGCGTGCGGCGGCACCAGGCCCGCGGCAACAGCGGCGTCGGCGGCGTGCGGCGACACCAGGCCCGCGGCAACAGCGGCTGCGGTGGCGGCTTGAACGTCAGAGGCCGGTGCAGCGGCCCCCGCCCTCTCGGCGGCATGTCCAGTCTCCTCGGCGGTGGAGAGGGCCCTCATGAGGCAGTCATCGGCTGCAGCAAGAAAGGGGGGGATGCAGGGGAAGCAGGTGCAGGTGGGGGGGGGAGGGGAGGGGGCGGGGCGAGGCGAGTCTTTAGCGACGCGCCATAAGTGGCGCGGCGCTTAATGGCAGAAGGGCGGGCAGGTGGCGGTTATGACGGCGTGCTGCCCGCTGCCGCCCATCGACGCTGCCGCGGCAGCATGACGACGCCGCCAGAGCGCGGCGTCGACGCTGTGGTGGCGCGCCGACGCTGCAACGGCAGCAAGGTGACGCTGCCACGGCAAAGCGTCGACGCCACCACGGCAGGGCGTCGAGGAGGCGACGGCCGCACGACGAAGCCGCCATGACAGGCCGGCATGGCCGCCACGGCGGGAAGGCAGTGACGAGAGAAATGCGCGGCGGAAGCGACGGCACGACAGCGCGACACCACAGCAGCGCGTCGAGACGGCCGCGGCACGACACGAGCGCCATGGCAGCGCGAGAAGCGTGAGTAGGCGGTCCAGCAGGAAGGATCTCCTGCTCTGATACCATAACAAAGAAGCTTAGGATAGGAACTAAACTTAGGACCCTAGCTTAGCTAGGAAGGAAGGAAGGGCGCCATGGAATGGCGTGCGGAAGGTAGATCTAGGAGCGTGAGGAGAAGTGTTGACGAGAAAGAAGGAGTTGGGATTAGGAAGAGAGAGCAGTACAAGGAGGGGATTGTACCCTCTACAGAAAGGTTCAGTAACAACCTACCAAGCCTATATTAAATTATAACTGATATAATTTTAACAGTTTGATTTGGCGCGACACGCGAAAGTCGAGTACAGTATGAATCTTTCAGATTTCAATGTTCTCGGTGCCTTTGTTTTCGTTCGGGCAGATTCGTCTCCAACCTAAATACTCGCGTCGCGATGGCCACGAGCTCGTTTTCCCCACTTGCTTTGACGTGCATACGGTTGCCCCAGCAGGAGTGGAAAAAACGAATGGTTGGACACATCTATGCACCGCAAAATTCTAGTGTTTCCTGCTAAAAATGGAGATTCTAGGTGACAGGGGGGTGTTCAAAAGTTTTCGCGTCCGAAAGTAGGGTGTTGTGTATATCCAGAAAAAATAAACACCCATACCCGCTCAAGCTACCCGGGGGAGCTTAATTCCGGCGGGTGTTTTATACGGGGGATTACGGTAACTTTGATTACTCACAAGTTCACGTACTCAGGTTATTCAACCCTGACCTCTACATTTTACAAGACTTCCGCTGTCTTACTAGTGTACCATTCCAGCAAAGATCCTGGACCAACACTTGAGGGTTTGCCAAGTGTTCGCATTTATAGTTTTATACTTAGTCTTCTACAACACCAGGAGATTTATTTCATTAGGAAGGAAGGCGGCCATGAAATGGCGAGAGGTTCAGGAGCTAGGAGGGAAAGTTTGATGAGAGAAAAGAGGGTGAACTAGAAGAGAGAGGCATACGAGGGAGTTGTACCCTCTACAGTGGAGTTCGATAACCTACCAAGCCTACAATTATATAACAAATATCGGCCGATTTGTCTAGGAATCCTCTATGAGAAACTCATATGAGGGTAGAAATACCAAGAGCTACAGAATAAAGCCTTTTTTTAATTTCTCCCCATATTCGTTCATTATCCACTGTGCCATATCACAAAAATCCAATTACACACGCCCTGCACATTTAAAACCATTTTCCTAGAAAACCATACGACTTCATATCCGGGGGAATACGGTAGCTGCCCAAAAACGGGTAACAGTAATTTACTGTCTAGCTAGCCACGCCTAAACAAACTCAGTTAGTAGCATACCAAGTTACGTTGTGCCACAACTCATGGGCAGTGGAGAAAGGTGGACAAGGTTACAAGGCGCAAGCAAGAAAGCACAAGCGCCATGGCTGCTTTGATAAGGAGGATGCCACGGTGCCACCAGCATACGGTAACATGGAGCTGCTGCATTCCTGAACGCCAAAACAGAATTGAGAGTCGAGATTGTGAGTGAATGTGCTGCAGAGGATGGATCAGACAGGACTCAAAACAGCAATGCTCATGCAAGATGGATACATGCGCCAGTCATACGTCGGGGAAACGGTACCGACCACTGAGCACAATTCGTCCCAAAGATCTCAACAACGCCCTCCTAACTCCATGAGAAATGCTCTCACCTCAGCCCCGTGCTCTCACAGCAGTAGGGTTCCCTGCTTCATCCACCCCATTGCCCGTACGGCCATGCACACCAGCAGCACCACCACCACCAGCACCAGCAGCAGCAGGACTGCCAGAACCAGCAGTACCAGGAGCCACTACTGCACCACTAGAACCAGCAGCAGCTGCAGGAGCCGTCCCAGCTGCACCTACGGCAGCCAGCTTCCTCTGACTGGCCACTGCCAGCTTGGCGGCCACTTGTTCCTCTGTGAGGGGCAGGAAGTAGATCTGTGGCTTGGCTTTGGTCCTTCGAAACAAGTCATCCAGAGAAGGCAACACGTCTGGCTCCGGCTCTGCCGCCTTCCTCCCTGCCACTGCACCGACGCCTGCCATTGCTGCTGCCGCCGCCGCTGCAGCCGCTGCTGCTGCTGCGGACCCAGAAGAAGAGGCGGGGGCAGTGGATGCGCCGTGGTGGCTTGATCCAGCACCACCCCCACCCGCTCCTGCTCTCCTCTCACTTGCAGCTGCCGTGCCTGCGGTGGCTGCTCTCACTGCTCTCTCTGCTTTTTCCTGTGCAGATGGCGCTGTTGCTGCTGCTGCCACTGGGGAAGCTCCTGGCTTGGCTGGTGGGGACGGAACGGGGGGTGACCAGGAAGGAAGGAAGCTGTGAGGAAGCTGTGAGGAAGCTGTGAGGAAGCTATGAGGAAGCAGCGACAAGAGGCAGAGCCTGGAAAAGAGACACGAGGAGAGATGAAGAGAAAGGGAGCTCGAAATGAAGAGACGTGGGAAGAATAGGGAGCAACGAGAGTATGCGAGTGAGTGGTAATAGACTTACACTCGGCAGCAGGAGGAGCATTTGTGTCCTTTGCTCCTGCCTTCTCCTTTGCAGTGCTAGCACTGCTAGCAGCACCCGTTTTCGCATCAGCATCAGCAGTACCAGCTGCACCAGCTGCACCAGCTGCACCAGTGGCACTGGCAGCACCGGCGGCACCGGCAGCAGCAGCAGCAGGAGCAGCGGAATTGGAGGCAGGGGGGTAGGGGACGCCATTGACCCGCGCCACGACTTCCTCGCTGGGCACAAACTTGGCTGTGAGGAGGTTGCCCCCCCTCACCGGGAAGCGCAGCCCCCATACTTCCGATCGTGCTGCCTTTGCCTCCTCCACTGATGCAAACTGCAGGTTGGCGGGTGGGGGGGGGATAGGGAGCGGGGGGGACATTGAGAGCCCGAGGAGGTGGGAAGTGGGAAGAGGTGGAGGGCAGAGGCAGAGGAGGGGGGAGAGGGAAAGGAAGTACAAGAGGGAGGTCCAAGAGGGAAGTCCAAGAGGGAAGTCCAAGAGGGAAGTCCAAGAGGGAAGTCCAAGAGGGAAGTCCAAGAGGGAAGTCCAAGAGGGAAGTCAAAGAGGTCAACCACTGTGAGAGGGAAGAAGGGAACTACAAGAGCCTTTCTGGTATGCATTGAGCAACGGCTCAGAACAACGTGGCAGCATGAAGAGATACCTAACGCACACAGGCAGGCAGTGCGGGAGGGAGGCATGCCGGCAGGCAGGGGGGCGGGTGGGCGGGCGGGCGGGCGGGCGGCGGGCGGGCGGGCGGGCGGGCGGGCGGGCAGGCAGGCAGGCAGGCAGGCAGGCAGGCAGGCAGGCAGGCAGGCAGGCAGGCAGGCAGGCAGGCAGGCAAGCAGGCAGGCACACATGCAGGCAGGCAGGCACGCGGGGGAGGGGGCAGGAGGGGGGTACGCACGGTGACGTAGCAGTGGGTGCGGATGCCGTCCATCCAGTAGTGGCGCAGAGAGCGGCCGTTGTTCCCCAGCAGGTCCTTCACCTGCTGCTGCGTGAACGGGCGCACAAAGTTGTCAATGCGCAGCGACTCCGTCACCGCCTCCACTGGCGGGGGGGCTGCACCACTCAACCGGGGGGGGGGGAAGGGGAGGCGCACGGGGTGGGGGGGGGCGGAGGGAGAGAAGGTGGGTCGGCGTCGGAAACAGAGGTCCAGGGGTGGGGGGCGGGGGGGGAGCAGTGGCATTGGAGTGAGTTAAGGGAACGAACAGGGAGGCTTGGGCGGGATGGGAAGGAACTTCTGGCAGAGAAGCAGAGTGAGCGGGAAGGAGGGCCTTTGAAAAAAGAGGACGGGCTGAGTTGGTGGTAAGGGTTGAATTGGCAAGGAAAGACTTAAGCACAGTACCCTCTGCCTTCTCTTGTGGTGGCTCCCTCGCTCCTGCCCCAGCCAATCGCGCACCGCCACGTCCACTCAGCGACCTAACCACGCGGTTACCACCAGCGCCACCAGCAGCAGCAGCTCCAGCAGCAGACACCGAAACCGCCTGCCCCGCTTTACTGTCACTGCTGCTGCGCGCTATAACCCCCCCTGGGCCAGCCCTCGCCCCTGCTGTGTCCTCAGCCACACCTGCCCCAGAAACCGCCTGCCCAGCTGCTGCTGCTCCCCCCTCTCCTGCCTCTGCTGCCTTTACTGCTGTGGCAGCAGACGGTGCTGAAGAATCCGCCCCAGCTGATGCCCCTCCAGCAGCATTCACTGCAGGGCCGCTGCCAGTGCCAGCAGCAGCAGCAGCCTTGCCTGGTCCCTCTGCCCCACCTGCTGCTGGCGCTGCTGCGGTTGCTGCTGCAGGGGCAGGAGCAGAGGCAGTGGTAGGAGCGGCAGCAGCAGCAGCAGCAGCGGTGGCAGGCGGTGATGTCTTGGACGAGCTCCATCTGCGCAGGCGCTTGGCGTCAGGGGGACGCGGGGACTCCTCTTCTGACGGGGGGGGCGGGGGGAAAGGGGAGGGGGGGGAGTGGGGGGAGGGGGAAGTGGGAGGAGGAAAGAGAGGGGAAGTGGGGGAGGAAGAGAGGAAGAGGGGGAAGGGCAACGGGAAGAGAGCGAGGAAGGGAGAGGAAAGTACAAGGAACGAGGTGAGGCTTAAGGTTTCGGGTTTAGAGGCAAGCACTGCAGCAAAAAAGCACAGCATATAAGCAAGCTAAAGCAAGTGAGCAAGCACAACCCCCCTCCCTCCCCCCCACGCACGTATCCAGCAGAGGCCACTCACCGCCTCCTCCTGATGGTCGCTCCTCCCTCCGTCTCGCCACAACTCCCACATCCTCCCCTGCTCGCTCCCTCTTCCCTTCCCCTCCACTACCCTCCGCCCTCGCCAACCCCCACGCCCGCCCGCGCTTCTCCGCCCCAGCGCGTTCATCTTTCCGCGCGCGTTCACCTTTCTCCGTTTTCCTTTCCGCCAGCGCGGCGTCCCTCCGCCTGAGTCCGCGCCCTTGCTTCGCGAGAGCCCCCGCCTCCGCCTCCGCCTCTTCCGCTTCCGCCTCTAGCTCCCCCACTAGGTCCGTATCCGCCTCTATCATTAGATCACGCTCCTCCTCCTCCTTGCCGTCCTCCTCCTTGCCCTCCTCGCCTCGCATTTCGTCATCCTGCTTGCGATCCTTACCCCCCGCTTTACTGATGTTTTCATCGCGCGCCGTTCTTTCCTCACCCCTCTCCTCACCCCTCTCCGCACTCCGCTTCTCACCCTTCTCCGCTCTCTCCATTTCTGTATCCTTCTCTGCTTCGCGCTCTCTCTTCTTTCCCTCCTCAACTTTCTCATCCTCCTCCCTCACTCCCATGCCGTCAACCTCCATACCATCCCTCTCCTCCTCCTTCCTCCCCTCCTCCCCTGCCCCTTCGCCGCCCCCTTTCTCCGCCTTCCCAGGTTCCTCCTCCCGCGCCGTCGATTTGCCCTCGGCTTCAGATCCGACGGTTCCTTTGCCACTTCCAGCCTCCTCAGGTGCACCTACCCCAGATCCCGGCGCCCCAGGGCCGTCAGATGTGGCAGCAGTGCCAGCAGAAGCAGTACTCTCAGTGGCAGCAGGTGCAGCTACAGGCGGGACAGATGCAGCAGCAGGAGGGGCAGCAGGAGGGGAAGCAGCAGGAGGGGAAGCAGCAGGAGGAGCAGCAGCGGCAGCAGCAGCAGGAGCAGTGGCAGTGGCATCAGCAGGGGCATCTAATCCAGAGCCTAACCCCGCCCTATCCCCCTTACCCTTATCGACCATCCCCTCGGCCTGCCCATCCGACTTTACCTTGTCGTCCCCCTTCGTCGTCGGTGCAGCCTCTTCGACTTCCTCCCTCTTGCCCTCCACACCAGAAGCCGCAACAGAACCACCAGCACCACCACCACCATCATCAGCAGCAGCAACAGCAGCAGCAGCACCATCTGCCGCGTCCCCCTCACTTCTTCCACCACCAGCACCAGCAGTAGCATCAGCCGCCCTCTCTTCTCCTCCTCGATCCGATCCCGTTGGCTTATCCTCCGCGCCCTGCTGCCCTCCTTCCTTCCCCTGCCGCTCCCCTTCCTCTTGCTTCCCCTTACCCTCCCCTCCCTGTCCCTCTTTTTCCCCCTCCCCCCCATTAGCCTCCTGAAACAGCACCTTCGGGCCCACCACGCTATCGTTATCTGCATCGCCATCCCCTTTGCTCGCAGTGCCGTCCTGCCCTGCCGCTGCCCCGCCCCCCGCCGCCTCTCCCGCCTGGATCGGCGGCGCCTCTTGCACGTCCGAGCCCGAGTCGCTCTCCTGCCCCTTCCCCTCTTTCGCTTTCTTCTTCTCCTCCTCCTCCTCCTGCTGTTCCTTCAGCTGCTGCTGAAACTCGGCTAGCTGCTGCTCGGCTTCCCGCTGTTGCTGACGTGTCAGATGATCCCGGAGCCGTTCGTACAGATCTCGCTTAACGCCGGACTGCGGCAGATTGTGCCGCTTTAACTCGCTCTTGAGCTCCGTCACTTTGAGATCCTCCAGCCGCTTGCCGCTCACGGCGAAACCGCGCTTGGGCGACGGCGTGGCCATCGCAGCGACGTCGCGCGACCGGTGCGACGAAGAGCGGCCAGATAAGGCAGCGCTGCGAGAGAAGAGGGGGAAATAGAGAGGAGCGTGATTTAGAACCACAAAAGCGGCGACCTTGTAAATAGCGGGACTAATAAGCGCCGGAAGGAAAGCGATCGTAAGTATGATATGCATAACTGATACGACGGTTATAAGACAGTCGGATCGGCCTTGGGCACGAGGCCGGGAAATCCATCAAAACATCTTAGGTCAGGCATGATAGAGGAAAGGTAACGCATCAGGAGACAAATCTGCACAGCGACGAAAGGCACCACCAGATTCGGCATTACCTTGCACGCGAAGAACAAGTACGAAGTTCAGACTGACACGTTCTGCGCACAAAATGGCCAGAACTGACTTTGAAAGATTACAAGAAACCAAGGTTTATCAAACTTGGCTACATCTAGGAAATCAAGACTGAGCAAATCCAAGGAAATAGGTCACCAAGAGCAAATATTACGAAATTCGACTCGACTTGTGGGGGAGGATGAATGGGAGGAGGGAGGGCGCAGGGGGGAGCCTAGAGAAAGTGTGTGCGCCCGAAAGCGGTGCATACATGTGCGCGTGTCCGGGCAATGTGGGAGAGGGCGGGAATGGCGGAACAGGAAGCAGCAAGAAGGTTTGTTCAGAGAAGAGCTTCTCGATGCTTCCACACTTTGATACCGTTAGGGCGGGTCCCAATTGTTCATTTCACGGTACGGGACACGATTTTACGAATCCCGGTACAAATCCCTGAAACGATTCCGTTTCCGTAAATCTTTGTAATTGTGTCCCTGTGCGCACGTGGCGCACAGGCGGGACGCCAATTGTCCACATGTGAAAAAAACCGAGCTGCGCGCAACAGCCCCAAACGCAGTTACCAAATGTAAGCCTGCGCGAAAAAATAAGTTTCGCACACCACGCAAAAGTCAGCAGGCGGGGAAACCCATCCCGCTTTTGCAAACATTGGCAGCGGCGAGCCAGGGCGGCCAATCAACAAGCGGGGGAATCTTGTTTTTTTCACGCCTTCTCGACGGACTTCTCGGCGGGGCCTCTTGCTTTCTGGGGCTTCTTGGGCGGGTGGGGAAACCAGAAACTCACCCCATTCTGTCGGCGCAGAGTGGTCCAACTAGTGGCGCGTTCGGTTGCGGATGCGGTATGGCGTTGCGCGCGCAGATGTATTCGCGACGTCGCCCGGTTTTCGCCATCGCCAGCGGGGCGATATCCAGGCGCGACACACTTGGAACCTCGTCCCCGAATCTTGCACCTTCCATGTTTTTTACGTTTGCAATCCGAAATTGGTACTGGGCCCGACGCATGGGAAAGGTGTCCCAGGTTACGTCAATATTTCAGACGTGTCCTGGCGAAACCTTAAACAAGTTTTCGCTTGTTAAAATCGGGTTACTTTTCACGAAATGAATAGAACGTGAACTATTGGGACCCGCCCTTATAGGGTGAGCGATTGAGTATAAACAGGTACAGTGAGGATGTATTCAGCAAAGTGTTTGTTGTCTAAAGGAGCTCATAGACAAGAAGGAGCTCATAGACATACTAACTCTCTTGGATAGACATGCCAAATAATCAAACCAGTAGAATAACAGCTAAAACACAAAATTTCGCCAGTCAATACAAGAATCCATCCATCCAGCTAACCGTTACCATACATTCTCGTACCATATTGTACCAACAGGTACACACATGTTGCTATACGGCGACCTAGGTTATAAGCTAGTTACCTAGTACATATCCTAGATCCTCGTTTGATGATTTGGCATGGAAGTGGTGCCAGTACAAGCTTCATTTGCCTACTCCTTACATGGCATATTCTCATATTCATGCTATAATTACTTGTGAAGTATGTGGTGTACCCTTATCGATCATAGCAAGGTTATCAAACGTTTTGTTTCCTCCCATTCTTTTAAAGCGAGCGTACAGACCAAACTCAAGATTCAAAGGCTTTGAATCTTGAGTTGGGGGTAGCGAAAATCGCGAGGGGCACAAGTGTCGCAAAAACGGGGCGGGCCCCACGCGAAAGGCTAGGGGTCTCGCGACGACTGTTAATGATCTCGCCAAAACTGGCGAGGTCGCAAGGGTACAGCGGGCGACGCTGCCCGTCGAACACGCGAAAGCACTGTTCAGACAAATTGAAACAGTAAAACTCATTTACGGAGAAAAGCACCTACAGTGTTGCTAAAGCTCGTGAAAACGTAGAAACGTAGAAACCACCACAACGCATCTACGTTTACACAAATACAGGACAATATTTAAACAATGAAGCACACGACTTGAAACTATCAGGGATCTAGTTCCCACTGAGTGCAAAGTCAGGGTTTTAAAACGTACACAAACAAGAAGGGCGCGATCGTCATTTTTATTAGGCAAGAAGCAAGACACACAATGCAGCACGACCAAGGAAACCCCCACCAGATGTCACCTCTCCCCCCACCAGAGCCCGCCTACCCCTCCCGAAAAACACCGGGAGAGGAGCACAGTGCTATGCTTCCCCCCTCACAGAGCTATGCTTCCCCCCTCTCAGCAATATGCCTCCCCCGTCACAGCACTGTGCTTCCCCCGTCACAGCACTGTGCTTCCCCCCTCACAGCACTGAGTGGGAGCAGGGGGTAAGACGGAATGGGAGCAGGGGTAAGACGGAATGGGAGCAGGAGGTAAGACGGAATGGGAGCAGGGGTAAGACGGAATGGGAGCAGGAGGTACGACGGAATGGTTTTAGGAAGGGATAGGCGCGGGGATCATGAGGGGTGGCGTTGGAAGCGGTGGGTACGACAATAAGACGGGGGAGAGAGGGGGGGGGGGGGGGGGGGAGGGGGACAGTTGGACGGTCGCAAATAAGAAACCAGAGTGAGAAGGGCATTTGGAGGAGTGAGTGGAGGGGGCCAGAGAGAGAGAGGCGGAGAGAAAAAGAAAGAGAGAAAGAGAGAGAGAGAGAGAGAGAGAGAGAGAGAGAGAGAGAGAGAGAGAGAGAGAGAGAGAGAGAGAGAGAGAGAGAGAGAGATAGGGGGGGGGGGGCGCGAGAGAGAAAACCCGCCTCCCTCCCATCCAGACCCCTACTTCTCCCCCCCTCCCAAGAACCTCCTTTCCCCCGCTGCCATGCCCCTCCTTCCCCCCCTCCCATAGCCCTCCTTCCCCCCCTCCCATAGCCCTGATTTCCCCCCTCCCATAGCCCTGCTTCCCCACCTCCCATAGCCCTGCTTTCCCCCCTCCCATAGCCCTGCTTCCCCACCTCCCATAGCCCTGCTTACCCCCCTCCCATAGCCCTGCTTCCCCTCCTCCCATAGCCCTGCTTACCCCCCTCCCATAGCCCTGCTTCCCCTCCTCCCATAGCCCTGCTTCCCCCCCTCCCATAGCCCTGCTTCCCCTCCTCCCATAGCCCTGCTTCCCCCCCTCCCATAGCCTTACTTCCCCCCCTCCCATAGCCCTGCTTCCCCCCCTCCCATAGCCCTGCTTCCCCCCCTCCCATAGCGTTACTTCCCCCCCTCCCATAGCCCTGCTTCCCCCCCTCCCATAGCCTTACTTCCCCCCCTCCCATAGCCCTGATTTCCCCCCTCCCATAGCCCTGCTTCCCCACCTCCCATAGCCCTGCTTTCCCCCCTCCCATAGCCCTGCTTCCCCACCTCCCATAGCCCTGCTTCCCCCCCTCCCATAGCCCTGCTTCCCCCCCTCCCATAGCCGTGCTTCCCCCCTCCCATAGCCCTGCTTCCCCCCCTCCCATAGCCGTGCTTCCCCCCCCCCATAGCCCTGCTTCCCCCCCTCCCATAGCCCTGCTTCCCCCCTCCCATAGCCGTGCTTCCCCCCTTCCCATAGCCCTGCTTCCCCCCTCCCATAGCCCTGCTTCCCCCCCTCCCATAGCCCTGCTTCCCCCCCTCCCATAGCCCTGCTTCCCCCCCTCCCATAGCCCTGCTTCCCCCCCTCCCATAGCCCTGCTTCCCCCCTCCCATAGCCCTGCTTCCCCCCTCCCATAGCCCTGCTTCCGCCCCTCCCATAGCCCTGCTTCCCCCCTTCCCATAGCCCTGCTTCCCCCCCTCCCATAGCCTTACTTCCCCCCCTCCCATAGCCCTGATTTCCCCCCTCCGATAGCCCTGCTTCCCCACCTCCTTTAGCCCTGCTTTCCCCCCTCCCATAGCCCTGCTTCCCCCCCTCCCATAGCCCTGCTTCCCCCCTCCCATAGCCCTGCTTCCCCCCCTCCCATAGCCCTGCTTCCCCACCTCCCATAGCCCTGCTTCCCCCCCTCCCATAGCCCTGCTTCCCCACCTCCCATAGCCCTGCTTTCCCCCCTCCCATAGCCCTGCTTCCCCACCTCCCATAGCCCTGCTTACCCCCCTCCCATAGTCCTGCTTCCCCTCCTCCCATAGCCCTGCTTACCCCCCTCCCATAGCCCTGCTTCCCCTCCTCCCATAGCCCTGCTTCCCCCCCTCCCATAGCCCTGCTTCCCCTCCTCCCATAGCCCTGCTTCCCCCCCTCCCATAGCCTTACTTCCCCCCCTCCCATAGCCCTGCTTCCCCCCCTCCCATAGCCCTGCTTCCCCCCCTCCCATAGCGTTACTTCCCCCCCTCCCATAGCCCTGCTTCCCCCCTTCCCATAGCCTTACTTCCCCCCCTCCCATAGCCCTGATTTCCCCCCTCCCATAGCCCTGCTTCCCCACCTCCCATAGCCCTGCTTTCCCCCCTCCCATAGCCCTGCTTCCCCACCTCCCATAGCCCTGCTTCCCCCCCCTCCCCCCCCCCCATAGCCTGCTTCCCCCCCTCCCATAGCCCTGCTTCCCCCCTCCCATAGCCGTGCTTCCCCCCCTCCCATAGCCCTGCTTCCCCCCCTCCCATAGCCCTGCTTCCCCCCCTCCCATAGCCGTGCTTCCCCCCCTCCCATAGCCGTGCTTCCCCCCCTCCCATAGCCCTGCTTCCCCCCTCCCATAGCCCTGCTTCCCCCCCTCCCATAGCCCTGCTTCCCCCCCTCCCATAGCCCTGCTTCCCCCCCTCCCATAGCCCTGCTTCCCCCCTCCCATAGCCCTGCTTCCCCCCCTCCCATAGCCCTGCTTCCCCCCCTCCCATAGCCCTGCTTCCGCCCCTCCCATAGCCCTGCTTCCCCCCTTCCCATAGCCCTGCTTCCCCCCCTCCCATAGCCTTACTTCCCCCCCTCCCATAGCCCTGATTTCCCCCCTCCGATAGCCCTGCTTCCCCACCTCCTTTAGCCCTGCTTTCCCCCCTCCCATAGCCCTGCTTCCCCCCCTCCCATAGCCCTGCTTCCCCCCCTCCCATAGCCCTGCTTCCCCCCCTCCCATAGACCTGCTTCCCCACCTCCCATAGCCCTGCTTCCCCCCCTCCCATAGCCGTGCTTCCCCACCTCCCATAGCCTTGCTTCCCCCCTCCCATAGCCCTGCTTCCCCCCCTCCCATAGCCGTGCTTCCCCCCCTCCCATAGCCCTGCTTCCCCCCCTCCCATAGCCCTGCTTCCCCACCTCCCATAGCCCTGCTTCCCCCCTCCCATAGCCCTGCTTCCCCCCCTCCCATAGCCCTGCTTCCCCCCCTCCCATAGCCCTGCTTCCCCCCCTCCCATAGCCCTGCTTCCCCCCCTCCCATATCCCTGCTTCCCCCCCTCCCATAGCCCTGCTTCCGCCCCTCCCATAGCCCTGCTTCCCCCCTTCCCATAGCCCTGCTTCCCCCCCTCCCATAGCCTTACTTCCCCCCTCCCATAGCCCTGATTTCCCCCCTCCCATAGCCCTGCTTCCCCACCTCCCATAGCCCTGCTTTCCCCCCTCCCATAGCCCTGCTTCCCCACCTCCCATAGCCCTGCTTCCCCCCCTCCCATAGCCCTGCTTCCCCCCCTCCCATAGCCGTGCTTCCCCCCCTCCCATAGCCCTGCTTCCCCCCCTCCCATAGCCGTGCTTCCCCCCCTCCCATAGCCCTGCTTCCCCCCCTCCCATAGCCCTGCTTCCCCCCCTCCCATAGCCCTGCTTCCCCCCCTCCCATAGCCCTGCTTCCCCCCCTCCCATAGCACTGCTTCCCCCCCTCCCATAGCCCTGCTTCCTCCCCCTCCCATAGCCCTGCTTCCCCCCCTCCCATAGCCCTGCTTCCCCCCCTCCCATAGCCCTGCTTCCGCCCCTCCCATAGCCCTGCTTCCCCCCTTCCCATAGCCCTGCTTCCCCCCCTCCCATAGCCTTACTTCCCCCCCTCCCATAGCCTTGATTTCCCCCCTCCCATAGCCCTGCTTCCCCACCTCCCATAGCCCTGCTTTCCCCCCTCCCATAGCCCTGCTTCCCCCCCTCCCATAGCCCTGCTTCCCCCCCTCCCATAGCCCTGCTTCCCCCCCTCCCATAGCCCTGCTTCCCCCCCTCCCATAGCCCTGCTTCCCCCCTCCCATAGCCCTGCTTCCGCCCCTCCCATAGCCCTGCTTCCCCCCTTCCCATAGCCCTGCTTCCCCCCCTCCCATAGCCCTGCAGGGCGTGGGGATAGGAAGGGAGGGAATTGGCGACGGGAAGACATGGGATGGCCGACGAGGATGGGAAAGGGAGGGGAAAATGGGTGCTGGGGGGAAGCGGGGACGCGGGAAAGTGGATGCTGGGGGGAAGCGGGAACGCGGGCTAGCGGATTGGGCGGAAAGCGGAAAATAGGGGAAGCAGGATAATGGGAAAGTGGGAATCGAGAGAGCAGGAAGCGGGATACGGGAAGCGGGAAAGCAGTGGCAGCTTGAGTGCGGGAAATCCGGGAGGCGAATGCAGGCAGATGCAGTGGGCGGGGCGGAAAACAGGGAATGCGGAAGAGTGGGAAAGCGGGGCAGCGCTCTCGCAGCTGCTGCGAGGAGCGGGGAGTGGGAAGCGAGGCAACGGGCGAGGTACTTGGGCGCACCGGCGAGGAAATGCCTTCGAGCTCGCTAATAAGGTCTTCGCGTGGCACGCCCTAAAATGATAGCGTGGCATGCAGCGAAGTGGGCGATTAGGTACGAAATCACTGGTCGCATAAACTAACGGAGATGCGGCAGGTAGCTGTCGCCCACAGGGTTACGGGAACATGTAAACGTTACTAATAAGCCGCACCTTTCCCGTGAATGACGAAATAGGAGGTAAGCGCTGTGTTAGGGAGCGAGAATGGCGGGGAAGGAGCCATGGGTACTGAGTACAGAGTAAAAAGCAAAAGCTTTGGGTCTTGATGTGGCGGGGGGAGAGGCTTTCCTTGTTTTGTCGCTGGGTTGGTGGTGAGTCGCATAGCCAATCAGAATCTTCCCAAATAAAAATCGCACCCCTCCTGCTGGTATTTGGTTACCGTGTTTGTTTCGCGTTAGTTTTCGTGCGTCGGGGGACTCAAAACCTTTGACTCTTGAGTTTGGTCTGTACGCTCGCTTTAACCCAAGTTCTGACCTCATGCCCGAACTGTAGTGGTTCTGTTTGAAGAAGCGGGAATTTTGTCGCAATGCGAGGTGGCACGGCCCAATCGTTGTGTGCACAGATGTCATACACCAGCTGTTTGCCCCCCCGGAAATTGGCCTAGACTTCCATCACGTGGTCCTACTTTATTGGTTGTCACCGCGCCGCAAGAGGTTTTCAGCAACCAGTCAGCGCGGCCAAGGAATGCAGGATCTGTGCTGGAAAGCGGCACGCACTTGCGTCTGACTGCCCTCGCCGCAGACCATTAATATCATCGTGCCACACGGGCGAGATGAAGTGGCACAGAAGCGCTTAATTCCCCGCATTCACTGGTCCCCCCAGTTTCTCGCTCGTGTCGATGTGGCATTTTGGAAGCTGCGTGGCGAGTCGCCAGCCCCGCTCCATCGTGCGAGCGAAGCCATCGAGGAAACCTGATGACCACTCGCGACCAACACCGTAGACGAACTGGCAGGGTAACCAAGCCATCACCCACGATTGTCCCCGGGGTTGAAGGGATATCGCGAATGATCGCACGTGTTGAATTGGCGCGCATTTTGTGCGAATCGCCCACAGGAACTTTCGTTTCGCCCATTCTCTCCATCTCGTCCCCTTCTAACCCTCCTCTCATCCCCCCTCCCATCCCATCCCATTGCCCCCAGCCGCACGGAACACCTCTCCCTCCCTCAATCGCAGCCGAATCCATCTCCCACCGTCAAGCACACGAGCCACGCCCACTACTCTTGCTCACCTCCCCCCTTCCTCCAACTCACTTTTCCCTACAAAGCGCCCAGCTTTGCCAGATCGTTGAGGTTATCTCACGCGCAACCCCTTCCAGCTTTTCTGTGTGAAGCCTTTGTTTGATTGATCGATCAAGCTAACTTTTACCCAGCGAATCCCTTGTTGCAGTCTCCCGCAGATAGTCGTGCTTCCCCCCGCGTTACGCTTTGAACTTCTCTCCAGCGAACAAACATGGCAGCTAACGCTCTTTGCGCATCTCACGCCGCGGTCGGCGCCGTGTCCTTCTCCGAGGCCGCCCACACATCCACGCGCCGATCGGCAGCTCCACAGATCGCGCCCGCATCCTTCGCATCCTTCCATGGGCTGAAATCCGTCTCCCCATCCACGGTCCCCGCCAACCCCCTCCGCGCGATCCTCTCCGCGCGCAGTTCCGCGGCTCCTGCGGCAGCTCCCCGCCTAGTCGCCGCCCCCGTGGCTTCCGCCGAGATCAAGGTTGCGCTGCTCGGCGCGGCTGGAGGGATCGGACAGCCGCTGTCGCTGCTCCTCAAGATGTCGCCGCTCGTGTCGGAGCTACACCTATACGATATCGCCAACGTCGCAGGTGTCGCAGCTGACGTCAGCCACTGCAACACTCCCGCAAAGGTGAGTGATTTGAAGGCACGAAATGGTGTCGAACGACGCATCTGTTTCCGATGCGCAGATCTCGTCGTTCGCTGAACCCAAGTGTCCGTTTTCCCGGATTCGCAACTTCTGGGGTCACTGCTTGCGGAGCTTCCATTCAAGTTAACCACTAAAGCAACCATATTAGCTGTGCTGCCTCCCGATCACTCACCCCTCCCTTTCTTCGCCCCTTTTTCTCTCTTTTCTCTCCCCTTCTCCAGGTGAAGGCTTTCACCGGCGCAGATCAGCTGGGCGCCGCATTGGACGGTGTAGATCTCGTCATCATCCCCGCCGGCGTGCCGCGCAAGCCCGGCATGACGCGCGACGACCTGTTCAACATCAACGCGGGGATCGTTCAGAAGCTCGTCGATGCCGTGGCGGACCACTGCCCCAAAGCGTGGATCAACATCATCACCAACCCCGTTAACAGCACCGTCCCCATCGCCGCGGAGGTGCTTAAATCGAAGGGCGTGTGGGACCCGCGCAAGCTGTTCGGCGTGACGACGCTCGACGTGGTGCGCGCGAACACGTTCCTCGCGGAGCTCAAGGGCCTGCGCCTCATCGACGTGGACGTGCCCGTGATCGGCGGCCATGCCGGTGCCACCATCCTGCCGCTGCTGTCCAAGGCCAAGCCGGCGGTGACGTTGACGGAGGACGAGGCGGCGAAGCTGACGGTCCGCATCCAAAACGCCGGCACGGAAGTCGTCGAGGTGAGCTGGCAGGGAACGGGATGGTCTACGATGGCTAGGTTGGTGGTTGAGTGGGGTATGATGGGGTATGATGGGGCATGCTGGGGTGTAGTGGGTTATGATGGCTTTGGTGGGTTATGATGGTTGCCTCCCGCTGGTGTGCCACGGTAGAGCTTGAATGCGAATGTAACGAGGCAAACCGAGATGGATGTGGAACTTGCATCGCCCGCGATAACGCTCCGGATCATGGAGCTTTTTTTTCCGTTGCTTACTGTCGGGTGCTAACCGATGTGTGTGTGTCGTTCTCCCTCTCCCTCGCCCTCTCCGCTCTCTTCTTTGATGACAGGCCAAGGCAGGAGCTGGCTCTGCGACTCTCTCCATGGTATGCACCCCCCTGCCTCTTCCATGACACTACCTATCCTATCGCTTGCGCATCTCTCGCTCTCTGTATTGCCTCGTTGTGCATCTTCCCTTTTAGCCCAGTTTCTCTTTGCTCAGTTATGCTGACGTTGTCAGGAAGTGGGGAGATGCCGCCTCTTGCAGTCCTTGTTTCGCAGCCACGTCTTCCGTTCTCGTCACCTCACCCCGTTCTTCCCCGCTCTCGCCCACCCCACCTCGTGTCCTCCCAGGCCTATGCGGCTGCGCGCTTCGCCGAGTCTTGCATGCGCGCCATGGACGGTGATCCCGACGTCTTCGAGTGCACCTACGTCGCTTCCGACGTACGTGCACGCCTCTCTCTCCCCTTCTACCCTTGTCCCTCCCTAATTCCCTCTCAGCATCTCTCCCCCTCCTCAGTCCCTCTACCCTCGCTCCTGTCCCCTGTTCCTCAATCCGTCTTTCTACTTGTATAGCCCCCTAACTCATTCGCTCTTTACCCCCTCGCCATCCCCTCGAACCCATTTGCTCTCCAGGCACATCCACATGTTCTTCCCACTTTTCCCACCGTCGCCACCAACCCACCCTTTCCTCACGTCGACGACTTCTCTGGTGTCCCTCATCTGCACTGCCCTACTCTGCTCTGCTCTCCTCGCCTCTGCTGTGCGTGCAGGTGACGGAGCTGCCGTTCTTCGCCTCGCGTGTGAAGCTGGGTCGGGAGGGCCTGGAGGCCTTCGTGCCGTCGGAGCTGGAGGGGCTGTCGCCCGCGGAGAAGGTCGGGCTGGACGCCATGGTTGCCGAGCTCAAGGGCAGCATTGAAAAGGGTGTCAAGTTTGCTAACAAGGCCGCCGAGCCCCTCGAGGCTGCCACCAAGTGAAGTGTTTGCGGTTTGATTTTTTTTCTGCTGTGTTTTGAAAGTAGTGGCAGGACTGTTTAGTTGATGCTGCTGTTGTGCTGCATGCTGGGGAGTTGCGCTTCCAATAGTATATGATTGAATATGAACCTCGCTATTGAGGTTTCTTTTGCATTTGGTATGTACTGTACCGTTGCCAGCAGTACACGGTGCTTTGTTGAATATTGTTGGGCTGAGAGAAAGCCTTTGGGATCTTTCCAGAGACTAAGTCCCAGTTGTAAAAGACTTGTACTGCAGTGGAAGTTGAGTAGTTGAACCCTTGTACTAGTATATGAGAACAAGTGATTGATTAAAGAAACAAGCATACAGCAATATGTAGAAGATAAGAAAGCAGTTGTAGAATACAGTTGCAGAAGCTGTTATCAAGTCGCACAGCGACTCGATTGTCGCTCCTATTACCATCCGCGATGTTGTAACGGTTATGAATCTCCAGTTGCGACCTTTCGAGTCCCTTCATGTTATGCGTCCGCCCCCTCGTGTTACCTCCGTTGACTCGCGTACCCGTTGCGATCTTCCTTGAGTGTAGTGTTACACTTTAGAAACGCTCAAGTCCTTTGAGACATTTCCAACACTCCCCTTCGTTTCTGGAGTGCTGACGTGTTCAGATCCGGTGACGTTTGTCTGCCCGGTCAGCAGCGTGCAGTAATCGAATTTTGCCTTCGCCAATTTCTTCGTCAGATAGTCTGCGGCCATTTCAGTCGTAGGGCAGTAACTGAGTTGAAGTCTCCCCTTCGCGATTTCATCCTTGACGAAGAAGTACCGCAAGGCGATGTGTTTGGTTCGGTTGGCGAAAGCCGTCCTTGTTCGCGATTTTGATCGCAGATTAGTTGTCGCAGAGGAGTGAGAAGACGGGCAGGGTCGCAATCTTCGCTTCTTCTAGCAGCTCTCGTAGGTAGAGTCCTTCCTTGGTCGCAGTACAGAGGGCGATATATTATGCTTCAGCCGAAGATAGTGCGATTAGTTCCTGCTTGCTCGACTGCCAGGAGATAGTCCCGATAGGTTCTAGTCGGTAGATGTAGCCCGTCCTAGATCGTCGATTTTCCTTATCTCCCGCGTGGTCGGCGTCGACGTTCTCAAACCTAGAAATTTAATAATGATAGAGTTAGAGAGTACATGCACATATACCTAAACGTTGTACCCTCTAGGAGGTTACCCTATACAGTCTATACAAACATGATCAATAAACATGTTTGACACACCCCCTGGACTGCATAGGGGAATGTCCTAGATAAGCAGCTCAGGGCGGCACTACTAGTCCAGCCTCTGAGACAAGGGTCTAAAAGACCAGTCAGAAGGAGTACAGACAAGACAAGAACAAGTACAGGGCGGCACTACTAGTCCAACCACTGTGAGAGGACACAAGTCCAGTCTGAGTGTACACATATATATAGGACAGTACAAAGTCAAGGCCCGAGTAAGTGAGCGACTACAGGAACCAGACCAAGCTGTACACAGTGCCGCTGATGATCTTTAGGCGCAAGCGCCTTCGTAAAGATATCAGCTGTGTTGGCACCGGAGGCCAAGTGTACTACGCGAGCCTGGCGACGCTGCTGTAGCTCGCGCAGGAGGAAGTACCGCAGCTGGATGTGCTTCGCTCTACCCTCGAGTCGAGGCTCCTGACACAGGAGGATCATGGCCCTGTTGTCAGCGTACAAGACCGGGGCAGAGCTAGGCCGCTCACCTAAGTCAGTGAGCAAGAAGGTCAGCCAGCGGAGCTCCTGTGCCGCCATGGCACCGGCGTAGATCTCAGCCTCACAGCTGGACTGGGCAACAGACGAGGAGCGGGTAGCTCTCCACGAGACAGCACCTGAGCCAAGGCTAAAGCAGTAGCCCTGGGAAGACCTGAGCGTCTCGGCGTCGTCTGCCCAAGAAGCGTCTGTGTGTCCAGTAAGGACCACTGGCCTACGTCCGCCTAGCACTAACCCCATGCCCGATGTACTTGCAAGATAACGCAAAACCCTCTTAGCGGCAGACCAGTGCTGAGGTCGGTGTCTGCCTGTGGCCACGAAACGAGCCAGGATGCTGAGAGGGTATGCGAGATCTGGGCGAGTGCAAGTCATCAGGTACATGAGGCAACCCACTAGCTCAGCGTAAGGACCACTGGGATCTACCGACTCCTCAGGAACTGGAGTGGAGAGTCTGTGGTCCAGAGGAAGAGGGGTGGGTTGTGCGGAGGAGAACTGAAGGCCGAACCTCTGAAGGACCTGGCGCACCAAGTGTGACTGAGTCAGGGTGATGGTGCGCGCGGCTCTGTCCCTGGAGATCTGCAAGCCAAGGTAACGGCGCAGCTCTCCAAGGTCAGTGCAGGTGTGTCTCTTCAGCAGCTCTGCCTTCACGAAGGCCAGTGCGTCCCTGTCAGCTGTGGCAAAGACCAGGTCGTCTACGTAGACAAGGATGTAGAACGGAGTCGGGCCAGCACGAACGAAGAGCGAGGGGTCTGCAGAGGAAGGAAAGAACTGCAGGTCAGCAAGGGTAGCACGCAGCGTGTCATGCCACTCACGAGGCGCCTGGCGCAGGCCGTAGACTGGACGCCGCAGAAGCCACTGGGTCCCAGGGGGGAAAGTGCCAGTAAAGCCCCGAGGACGACGCAGGTAGACCTGCTCGTGAAGGCTGCCCTGAAGGAAGGCAGTGGAGAAGTCGAGGGAGTGAAGCTCGTAGTCACGCTGAGCCGCTACGTGTAACAGAACCCGAAGAGTAGTCATCTTCGGCGTAGGAGCGAAAGTCTGAAAGAAGTCCACCCCCTCGCGCTGACTGAAGCCTCTAGCCACGTAGCGCGCCTTGAAGACAGGCGGCTCTCCAGGAGGGCGCTTCACCTTGAAGAGCCAACGGCCATCGACCACGTTCACCCCAGGTGGGGGAACTGCGTCGACGAAGGTGCCGGTGGATCTCCAAGATGCCATCTCCTGTTCCATGGCAGCTATCCACTGAGAGGCCCAGGGTCCCGAAACCGCCTCAGCGTAAGTACGAGGGGTCGGGATGTCGAAAGCGTCTGGGTCACCCTCAGGGACTAGCAGCATGGAACAGAGATGGGGAGCAGCCTCGGACAGGAAAGCAAGCTCAAACTGGCGGTCCTCCAGGACGTCACTGCCGAGGGCAGGAGCACCCCCGACAGACGGAGGACAGGCAGGGTCAGAGACAAGAGCGGTGGCGTAGTCAAGGCGGCGGGAAGAGGCGAAGTCAGCGACCGCAGCGACAAGGGCGTCAAGACTCGACACTGGAACAGACGGGTCGGTAACGAGAGAGGCAAGGACCCGAGGAATAAGAGGGCGAGCGGCATGAAAGTAGTCAGACAGAGGAGGAGACGCAACGACAAGAGAGGACGGAGGAGGAGACGGGAGGAGGGGAGGACGAGACGCGTGGGACCGGAGCAACATAGGGTGAGAGCGCGGGACGGGGGAGACAGGACGAGCACGGGAGGGGCGGCGAGACCAGACGTGAGAGGGGGGCGTCGGGTCAGGAGACAGAGGAGGGGACACTGGTGGGGAACGAGGGGGAAAACGAGCCGGGGACGAGTCCGGCGGAGGGAACACGGGGCCGTAGACGGGAAGAGGAGGAGACGGCAGGAGAGGAACAGGCACAGGGTCAGGGGACGGAAGGCCGAGCAGACGGAGGGCGGACACCGGCGGGGACTGCTGCTGCGGCGACACAACACCAACGCCAGGGCCACAAGCTGCGCGACGGAGAACGCCCGAACCCTCCACACCGGCACCCCCAGAAGGGACACACCCAGAGCCCGAAACCCCGCCAGCACCGGTACCACCCCCAGGCCCGCCGGGACAAGCCACGACAGGAGCCCCGGGACTAGTACCCACCTCAACGCCAGCACCCCCAGAGTCCACAAACAGCGGCAGCGACGACGGCGGCGGCGGCGGCGGCGGCTGCAGCGACGGCCGCGACGGCGGCGGCGGTGGAGACGACGGCTGCAGCAGCTGCGGCGACGGCGGCTGCGGAGGCGGTGGAGGAGGAGACACCGGGGGAGGGCAGGCGGCGAGGACTGCGCCGGAGGACTACCAGAGTCAGAAGACTCGTCGACCGGGACGACCGACGGGAGGGGGGTGACGTGAGACACACCAGAGGGGGCCGGACGGGGGGGCGGGGGGGGGAGGGGCAGGGACCACCGGGGAAGGAGGGACCAGGAATAGGGGGGGAGTAACCGGGGGACCACGGTGAGGGAAGCGGCGGTAGAAGGAGACGGACTCGTCAAAGGTGACGTCGCGAGAGTGAAAGAAGCGGTGGGACGGCGGGTGGTAGAAGTGCCAGTCGGACGCGTCAAGGGGGAAACCGAGGAAGACGCAGGGGAGGGTGCGGGCAGTGAGCTTGTCCGTGCCAGAGGCACGAACGTGAGCAAGGCAGCCCCAGACGTGGAATGCAGACGCGTCACCAGGGGACCCGGTCCACAGAAGGGTCGGCGAAACCTGCGGCCGCTGGGGGTGCGGCCACAGGTTAAGCTGGTGAGCGGCGTAGCGCACGGCGAACGGCCACAGAAAATGGGGTGCACTGGCGTGGATCATGGAGGTGCGAGCTACCTCCATGACCAAACCGATGCGTCGCTCAGCGACCCCATTCTGCTGCGGGGAGTCCGGCAGGGTAAACGTCTGGGTGATGCCCTCCGCACGACAGAAGCGACCAAGGACACCTGAGGCAAACTCGCCACCCCGGTCGGAGTGGAGGCGCAAGGCAGGGAGACCGCGGTGGACACGAGCAGAGACAAGCCAGGGGATGAGGGCGTCAGGCACGTCGGCCTTCCGCTCCAGGGGAAAGACTGTGGTGTAGCGCGTGAAGTCGTCGACAAGCACTAGGAAGAAGCGCTCGCGACGCGGCCCATGGACCGGGGCTGGGCCCCAGACGTCCATGTGCAGAGTCTGCAGTGGTGCGGTGGTAGGGGGAAAAGAGGAGGAGTGAGGGGCACGGCGGAGCCGGCCCTCGACACAAGGCGTGCACTGGGGGGCGGGGGAGGAGGGAAACTCGGGGAACGAACCGGGGAGACCAAGGACGAGACCGTGCTGGGACATGTGACGCAGACGCGGGAGTGCAGGGTGACCAAGGCGGTGGTGCCAAAGGAGAGTCGGGTGAGTGAGGGACCGACAGGAGCACGCAGCAGCAACCTGGGTGGATGCAGCTACCTGGGGGGAAGACCCAGCCGGGGAAGTCGCGGTGTCAAGTGTGAACAGGCCGGACACCGGGTCCCGGGGGAAAGTGGACAGGTGGGCACCAGAGGCGGCCTCGGTACAGACAGCATACCGCTCGTGACCAGGGAACATAGTGGTGACGCCAAGGTCCT